GAAAGATATTTTTTTGTACGGCTTTAGTTGTGTCATTAGGTGTTTTAGCTCCTCTTTTATTTGTTGATCTTCAAGAGCTTGATCGATTATTTCTTTTTCTATAGGATAAATAGGAATTTCTTCTAATAAGACCTCGTGCCTCTCATCATCATCACTTTCGAGCACCTCTGATCTGAGAATATTTAAATTTTAAAATATATAATAAAAATTAATTAACTTATATAATTTATTAGTTGTATCTTTTTTAGTTTTTTGTACTGGTTTATTAAATTCTATAATATCTAAATCATGCTTACTAGCATATACTTTTAATTAGGTCAAAACATTCAAGTTCATCTTCACCTTGATACAAGTCATCATCATTATCATCTTGATATAAATCATCATCATTTTCATTTTAATACAAATTTTTTTCATCCTCATCTAAACTATCTACTTGAAAAAAATTTTGGTCATCTTCATCTAATCTATTTTTAGCCTGTTTATTTATTTCTAAAAAATTTAATTTAAAATATTATTAATTAATAAATATAATTTACTACTTTATAATATATATTATATAACTTGTCTTTTTGATATTCATGATATTCATTAATACAATTCATACAAATATTTGCAATATTCTGATTTTTTGGAAAATAAATCTTTGCAGAAAGGTTTATATTAAACCATGTAATAAAAGTATAATCAATTTTTTTTTTTTTGTATTCTATAGCTATCATATGTTATTGTTTTGCATAGAAAATCAAGATCACATTTAGAGTAACTTGCTTGATTAAGTTTAGAAGGTCGACATTTGTATTTTGTTTGAAGTGATTTGTTATATTTTAAACAGGTAAGGCAAATAAGATAAGCACTAGAACTATAGTCGAATAAAAATGACATTTTATATACTGTTAAAAAGTTTAAAAAAGTAACAAGAAAAAAAAAACTATAAAAAAAAAATGATGAGAAGTGATGAAATAAGAAAAAATTAAACAAGTTAAAAAAAGATTTGAAAAATAGTAAAAAAGAAGTAAAGTTGAAAGAAAGTATTATTAAAGATGAATATTATGATAAATAATTAAATAAAAAATATTTATATTTATATACAGTAATAATATAGTCAGATGCTTTCAATAAGTGCATATACTCTCCAAATACATAAAAAAATACTGGCCCAAATATATACTTAATGTTATAAATGCACTTTTTTTTATTATTCTCTATATACATATTATCATTATTAAAGTACAGTCTCAAAAGCATGCACTTATAGAGATTTGATTTACGTATATATAAATTTTAAATCTAATTATGTCTCAAAATTAAATAAAATTAAAGCAAAATATAAATTTCTCTGATACATATATATAATTTCAAGCATATAATATTAAATAAAATTTGAATTATATACAATATATATATAAGTATAATAGCATTAATTACAGTTTAATTTGTCTATAAATTTTTTTGCTAATTTCTATTTTTTAATGGATCTAATCATTAATCAAGATATTATAACTTTCTAACATTGCTCTTTTTAATTTAGTCAAATTGATAATCTTTAAATTCTGTAAGCTTTCACTTAATTATTTATGATTTCTTTTGATTAATAATAAAATAAAGTAGCTATATACAGACTAGTGATTGGACCCGTTTAAAAAAACGTAACCTGGGTTACCTGTCAGGTAAACCATGAGTCATCTGGGTGATTAACGGGTCATACGGGTTTATCAGGTGACCCGTTTAACCCGGGTCAATATTATGAATAATGTTGTCGAGGTAGAATTAGTATTGATCCGAATAAATCTATTTGGATCCTTTTATGCAGAACACTAGGTAGAATCATAGAAGGACGTAAATCATTACCCGGGTATTTTTTAACAAAAAATCACCACAAAAGCCATTTCTAACTTCTAACTTCAAACTAACGTCAATATTCCTCTAAATCGTTATACTCCTAACTTACTTAGAAGACAGAATATACCAACACTATTGGACCACTAGAAATTATACTGTTGAGAAGGTAACTGGAAATGTTTTCGTCCAAAACTACTTTATTACTTAGATTTAAATATCTTCTTATTAACTCATAGAAGGACATTCGTTTGTAAATCAATTACCCGGGTAACTTATTTATACTTTAAAGTACTTTTTAAATCACCGCAAAAGCCATTTCTAACTTCGAACTAATGTCAATATTCACTGTTCAAAATAATCTCTAAATAATTTCACACTGACTTACTTTACTTAGAAGACAGAATATACCAACGCCTGGACTACATAAATTATACTGTCGAGAAGATAACTGGAAACGTTCCTGTCTAAAGCTACTTTATTATATTAGATTTAAATACCTTCTTATTGCTAACTGTTTAAGTTGAATAGGCCCAAGCTCTTTAATAATAGAAGCCCGGGTTTAATATTTAAATTTGGTCAGTTTTTGTAGTAATTTTGGCTTAACAACCGTAAATTAGAGTTTATGTTAGTAGATTCTTTAATAAGTTGGAGTTTGTTAGTAATAAATATAACATTTACCTGCTTTACGCATATCTATCTGTTCTCTAGTATATGAAGTAAATTCTTTTGCATGTGTTTATTAGTTTGTAAGCTTTATATGGTGCTTTAATTCATTTCTAATAGTATTAGAATGATAAATTTTTTTAAAAACTATATAATTTGATTGGCTAATTATCACCAAAATTAACCAATCATGTTGACCGAAGGTCAACCCATGGGTCAACTCGCGGGTCGACCTGTGGGTCAATCACCTGAGTCACTACAACTCAATACGGGTCACCTGACCCACCCGCAGGTAACCTGGATAACACTTACTCGGGTTCAATCACTAATACAGACTTATAGAACTTAAAATTATAATAATCATTGATCTAACTTAATCAAAATAAGCAATAATACAGTAATATAATCTAGTATCTATAAAAGTAATTTTAGTATAATAACTAAATATATTTATTAATTATATATCAGTTTTGGAAATCAATTTTAAATACAGTAATCAAATTTAGATATTAATTTTGAAACTTTCTAAATTAATTGTATTTTATTCAAAATAGAGTAATATACAATACTGTAAAGTATATATTTACTATAGCATTTTCAATAATATATATAAATAGTAGTCATGCTAATTTAAAATGATAAATAACTTTGATACAGAATAGTTATATCTAATATTGAATTCAAATACTTAAATAGATATCTAATATCAAATTCAAATACTTAAATAGATATCTAATATCTAATTCAAATATTTAAATAGATATTAGAAACATGGTTAAATATATAACTATATTGATATAAAACAAAAAAGAGATTTTAATAGGATTTGCAACTCTGCATATTTTACAATATCAAAATATAATAAAAAGTATAATAATTCTATTGGCAAATAAATAATCAATAAATAATTGTTATACTTATAGATTAAATCAATACAAATTAAAAGTTAAATTAAAAATAATTAAATGTTTTGGTAATAATTAATGCTCAAATGATAGTGTTTATTTAATGAACCAATTAAATAAGAAATTGATTAAATTATCTTTAAATAAATATATTATTATTAGTTACTAATAGTATATACAAGATTTATAATTTTAAATTTATTATTAAAACTTAAATCTTTGCTTTTAGATTTTCATTTGCTATATTCAAAGCTTAAAAAATTTGATTACTAGATTATGCATATTAATCAAGTAAATTAATTCAAATATGTTACTTCTATCAAATTTTATTACTCTGTTAATTCATTAAATTTTTGTCTAAATTAATATAATAACCAAATATATACTATTACCAGTAATATTTATTAATTATTAGTTTTGGATGTTTATTTTAAATATAGTAGCTACCAAATTTAGGCATCAATTTCGAATCTTTCTAATTAAGATATGAATGCAAAATTATTACCAAAAATGGAATAATATATAATATTATGAAGTATATTAGAAAGGAGTAATCATGAAGTGTATAGTTACTACATATAGCACTTTAAATGTGTATATTCAAAATCTTATATCTGATTAGACAATGTAATAACCACAGTAAAAATGACCTTTGGTCACATGACCCAAAATTTTCATAGTCATCCTGATGGATTCGGATAAAATTCTAGTAATTCTTAAGGTGTATAATAGAACTTCTCCTTTAACTAATCTTATCTATATAGCTTACTTTTATGCATGTCTATTAATTCAGGTAATTAAGTATTACCTGTATTTATTCTTTAATGTTTAAGAGCATGCATAAAAAAGGTTTTAGTTTTAAATAGGCATATGAAGATTTATATTATATAAATAGTAGAGATAGATCAGTTATACCCCAAGTATTTTGGTATATGCAAAAATTTACTAGTAAAGTATAAAAGGTAAATCAGCTTCTTGCGCAATCGATATATTATTTTATACATTATTAGTAAACTTCGCTTATACCAAACTACTCTATTATATTTATTAGAATAAGATTTAGATATTAGATGAAACGAAAAATAAAGCAAATTATGAAGTAAAAAAATAAACAAAATATGAGGATAGTTATTTAATTAATCGATGATATTATTATTATTTGGATTGATTTCCATACAATCATATGATTATCCAGAGCAACAACCTGGTACACATTTTCAATTTGCTATATTATAAACAAATATCATCATAATTAACAATTGCATCATTAATTTTTGGATGATTTTATATAGAATTATGTAACAGTCGTACTATTAGATTCAGTTTTCTATTAACAATTATATACATAATATCTAATCACATATTAGATAAAAGTATACATATGTACATATATAAAAATTCCTTTATCTAATTATATAATTATAATAACACATACATATTTTAAATTTTTAATGTGTATATATGTAAACATATCTAATACTAAATATACATTTTTAAGTATATATATAATTAGTATGTAACTATTATAAATTTTCTTTAAATAAGAGCAGTTTTTTTTTTGTTATTTTTTTATATTCTCTGTTGTTCAATATGTGGGAAATTGAAGAGATTTGTTTTTTAATTGCTGAGAGAAAGAGCCAAAATAGCAAATACCACCAGACATTCAAAAAACTTCGGTTTTGGTTAAGTGTTGCAAAACGCTTAAATCGTCACTTTAATACCTCCTATACAAGTAATCAATGCAAGGGAAAACTCCAACAGCTTATTAAGGAATATAATGTACATAACTACATGTCAAAATATGTTATATAACTTGCAAATTTTTAACATTAAAGTTTTATTTTCATTTTAGCTAATGAGATTGTATTGTACTGGAAATGGGAGCCAAAGTACACTTTTAAGCTGGTTATTTTTTGAGGAATTTCGAACATTATTTTGGCTTAGGCCAAGTAAATAATTATTTATATATATCTGAAATTTTGTAATACGATCAACAAATATATTTATGTTATTTTTAGGTGATAGAAACAATTATGAATGCGAATTAAATATGTCGCACAATCACCAGCAACGACAACCTTATTTTTCTGAACTGATTTCTCAACCACCATCACCATCACCATTCTCCAATGAGGGCAAATCCAAATCAAAATGCCATGGTTTAATTTACATTGTAGTTTAATATTTGTTGTGCACTTGTTTGGTTTTGTTTTTTCCATGCATTTTACTTTTTAGTTTTCAATATTGAATGCGAATGTAATAATAAATAAAGTATTATGGTCTAAATTGTGAACTTGTTTGTTGAGTTTACCTTTTTACTCACCAACACGAATAAATAATTTACACATAGTAATAAGTAGATGTTTATGATCTTGGCTTGTGAACTTGTTTGCCAATTTTAATTCCACTGATTAATAAATAATCTAAATCAATGCAAATGAAATGATTAGTATTCTTGTGAATTTAAGTGTTTTTCATACTTATTGATTAAATTAATGCGAATGAATGACTTGAAATTACAAAGTTCTGATTCCATTGATCGTTTGAGTTCTAATCAATTATTTTAGAGGATGGTCAGGGCTTATTCTCAAAAGATCGCTTGACACTCACTCTTTTATATACAATAGAAATATTTTTACTGTACCACAATAACAATTTATTGTAGCACAGTAAAATATATAAAACGATCTTTGAGAATAAGCCCTGACCAATTCCTAAAATAATCGATTAGAACTAAACCTCAAAGATCTTTTGATTCACATTATGAAGTGATCATCACTATAGATACTAGTGATGGTAAAATGTGGTGAAATAATTTCACCACTATCGCTATTGGTGAAATTGGGGTTGAGTTGCTGAAATTGGTGAAATTTAATCATCACTCAAACCGTATGGGCCGATTTTTTTGATATACTTTTCAAAACGATTTAATTCTGGTCAAATTTACAGATTATTTGGCTCTTGGCTTATCAGTTTTAAACTGATAAACCAAGGGCCAACTAATCTGCAAATTTGACCAGAATTGAATCGTTTTGAAAAGTATATCAAAAAAATCGGCCCATAGCGATAGCAAATCGCAAATGAAGATCTTGGCTTGTGAACTTGTTTGCTACATCGGCTAAATTAACGCAATAATAAATAAATATTTATGAACTTGAATTATAAATTGCCATTTTAATTGCACATTAATAATCTTTATACTCACCATCTAAATTAATGTGAGTATACACT